GCCTCTCCTCCCGCCCTCCGCAGGGCCATGACTCCAAGAAGCTGAGGGCGGCGGAAGGCGAGGCGGGCCCGGCCTCGCCGCTGAGCGCGCAGCAGCTGGAGCGGATCCGCAGGAACAAGGAGGCGGCTCTGCAGCGCCTGGCCGAGCGCAACGTGCCCCCGGGCTTCGGCGAGAGCTGGAGGCGGCAGCTGGGCGGGGAGTTCTCCAAGCCCTATTTTATGGAGGTGAGCGGGGTCCACAGGCCCCGTGATGGGACCAAACCACTCCCCAGCACCCTTGACACCCTCCTTTGCTGACCCTCCCTCCGGTGTCCCCTCTGCAGCTGATGGCGTTTGTAGCCCAGGAGAGGAAGCGCTACACGGTCTACCCGCCCCCGGAGCAGGTCTTCACCTGGACGCAGATGTGCGACATCCAAGATGTGAGTAGAGCTGTGTGGTGATGAGAGGGGTGCTCCTGCTCCCCTAAAAAACAAACCTCCAGCACCAGGTTAGGTGCAGTCCCACTAACGCAGTCTGCTCACCATCCGCAGTCTCCTGTGATGTTGAGTGTTGTTTCTCTCACACAATCTGTAAATCCTGGCTCCTCTTGAAATGGCTGTATTGCTTTATTACGCTCATCACCAATGGTGCTTTAAACCTGTAGTTAAACTCCTGACCTTATTCCATTTCTGCAGTGCTTGGCTCAGGAGCAGCTATTTTTGAGTTTCTCTTGTCTTTTTCTCGAGCAGACTAATTATAACAAGTGTGTACCACTGTGCTTAATTAGCACTCTTTCTATTTCACTGTCTGTAGTGAAAATTAATATGAAAATAGATGTGTGATGGCATGGATTTTAGTTTCAGGGAGAAGGGTTCTTAAAAGACTTCACTTGTGGGCCGTCTTTTTGTTACACTTTCAAGAATAATTCTGATTATAGTTGGGTGGTTAGCAGTACTAACGAGGTTCTGGGTCTGCTTTCAGGTAAAGGTTGTCATTTTGGGGCAAGATCCGTATCATGGACCTAATCAAGCTCATGGGCTCTGTTTCAGTGTCCAGAAACCTGTTCCACCACCCCCCAGGTATGGCAGCATCCAGCTTGCAGAATTAATCTATTTACTGAGTTAAATTACTTGTGTTCTTACGTTATTTGTGACTATGTGTCTCATAAATGATAGGAAATGTATTGAAACTATTGAACCTTAAGTTGTGCATTCCCCCGAAGAACAGCACTACAAAAACACCGATAATTTTGTGTAGTTCTTCTGACAAACTTCCTGGACTCTTTTTCAGTCATGGCAGTGAGTCCTTTGATAATGTTTCCAGCCAGGCACACAAAGAGGCCTTGTTTTTTGTTTCCGCAAATGGTTTTATTATCTTTAAGGGTTTTGATTGAAACTTGTTTATTTTTTGTCCAGTGCAGGTGGCTGTTTTTGCTTTATCTTTAAGCACTTTAAAGAGCAAACTTTTAAGAGCATAATTGTGTCTTTAATTGTCTGTAGTGAGTTTGTCATCTGAGTGCTACTAGACAGGATTTCAGGATTCAATCTTGCTAATTAACTGCCTGATTACATGGGCTTTGACTGTTCCAAAAACTTGATTTAAATCTTCAATTGTTTTTGTTTGCAGCTTAGAAAATATTTACAAGGAACTGTCCACTGATATTGAAGACTTCACTCATCCTGGTCATGGAGATCTCACTGGGTGGGCCAAGCAAGGCGAGTTAAGAGATCCTGGAATCATTTCCGCTATTGGTCATAAACAAGCCTATCTATAAAATAGATCTGTGCTTTGAAACGGCCTCTCTATATAAATATTTATGCTCGGTGACTATCACTTAGCAGTTACGTTGGGCAGGGAGGACTCCAACTTGGTCATTTGTGGGGTGACAGGGAGGGAAAGCAGGAGGGAGCTGCTCACGCTGGGTTTGGTTTCCTCTCTGCTTTGCTAGGAGTGCTGCTCCTCAACGCGGTGCTGACGGTGCGGGCCCACCAAGCCACTTCCCACAAGGAGAAAGGCTGGGAACAGTTCACGGATGTGGTGGTGTCTTGGCTGAACAAGAACTTGCACGGTGTCGTCTTCATGTTGTGGGGAGCCTATGCACAGAAGAAAGGCAGTTCTATTGACAGGGTACAGCTTATTTTTCCATCTCTTTTTTTTCTTTATTTTAAACTTAAAGCATGGACACTAGAGGGCACTCTCCTTACGGAGCTGGGCTTTTCCTCCTTAGCAGATCATCAGGTTCCACTACCCTTTGGTTTCAAGTTAATCCTTGCCAGAATTAAGCAACAAAAATGGGAGAAGTGTAGCCTTTAGTTGCGAGAAGAGGCTCGGGTTCATGGCAGAACTGATATTTCTAGGAAATTTCCCATGAGTAGGTGGAAAGTTGCTGTTACACCATTTCTAAATCACTGTAATCCTAAGTATTGCTGCAGCTTTAGTATAGTCTGTCCTTCTGCT